CTACTATAACCAAGACGACCTATAGACTAACCCTAGATGAAGCCAAAACCGTTACCATCATTTGACAAATGGGTATGCATATATATATATCAATATAATATATATATATTATAGATATATCAAATAATATATAATATATTAAAATATATAGAACTTCAACTTGTTTTTTTTGTATTTAAAATTCTGGAAATATTTCAATATTAATATATTTCTGTACAGTTTACTACGTGTTTCTTAAAGATATAGGAGAGCATAAATAATATGTAGAGAGTAGCATCAATAATGAACTCAGTGTCATACCTTGCAGTTGTACATTCAAAAATCCTATGACTTTTATCGAAAAATATGCTATTTACTCGAAGTATATGAAAAATAATTACCATTTCATGAAAATGTTAATGAAATTCCTAACTTATGCACCATAATAGGGTATTAATACCTCATCAACCAGCAGTGACTCATACGTCAGGCTCCGAGCAGCCGCGTCTAACAGCCTGGTTGATCAGTCCAGTTAATCCAGGAGCCTGGTCGACGACCGGGCAAAAGGGACTAAGCCCTGAACCACCTCAAGGTAGCCTCAAGGTAGGTAGGTATTTCGGTAATTAGCATTCTTACCATCATAACATGATCCTAAGGGAAACGTGCACCATAGCTGTCTAGAGCGATGATCCAAGACAATATTGCTTAAGTAATGTAAAAAACCCAGAAGTTACTTAACCATATCCAGAATGACATCAAGCTAATGTAATAGTGCCTTATCACTTATGATAACCAACGATACGGACCAAAATCATAGCAGCATCCACTTTTACCTCTCCGGTTGGCACGGAACTGATCTTCACAGTCTTTTTCCTACCCAAATTCCTATGGTGGATGCGGAGGCAATGAGAACCAAATTCAACTATCCACACGTGCATGTCAACCTGCGCCCAATTCAACTGGCACAACCAGAAGCTGACTCGAACCCATACTCGAAGCAACGCAACTGGTATGTCAAGACGCCAACCAGCTGCACCACTAAGCGAGATGAAGTCAACCAGATGCCGGGCTAAGGTTGAGATGAAGTCCACCAGCTGCTGTACTAAGGTGGGAGCATTTTACCAAATGCCTACTAAGGTGAGATAGGGCAACGCTGGTACTAAGGAGATGAAGTCAACCAGCTGCTGTACTAAGGTGAGACGAAGGCAACCAGCTGCTGTACTAAGGTGAGACGAAGGCAACCAGCGCTGTACTAAGGTGAGATGAAGTCAACCAGCTACAGTACTAAGATGAGATGAAGTCAACCGAGTACTAAGGTGAGATCACCCCACCAGCTGCACTACTAAGGTGAGACGAAGGCAACCAGCTGTTGTACTAAGGTGAGATGAAGTCAACCAGCTGCAGTACTAAGGTGAGATGAAGTCAACCAGCTGCTGTACTAAGGTAGATGAATCACCCTTAACCCTTACTGCCGGAAAAAGAGTGATAGCCAAGTATTAAACCACATCACCAGATCGATAGTTACTTGGGAAGCAATTTAAATCACCTCATCTTAGTACAATGAAACCAAATTCAACAACCATTTGTCCCCTCGGTTGGGATGAAAACTAACCCCAATTTTTCCCCATCCCGAAGAGAATGGGAGGAAAGACCTTAACCACTTCCACACGCCGGCAAAATGGCGTAGCCGGCTTACAACCCCACCGCCGGATGGAAGTACTGGTAGCATTTCAAAGCACCACTGGCAGTGAGAAATCAACCAGCCAGATAGGTTGAATAACACTGACTAAGCGAGAAGGCACCACCTTCAAGGAGAAGCAACGTTGTACAAGAGTAATGAATCAACCACACGTGAGGAACACAAATGCGAACAAGCCTGAATGGTCCCCAGGACATATGCAACTGAAAACTCACACCCCAGAAGTGACTCGAACCCATACTCCAGAAGCAACGCAACTGGTATGTACAAGACGCCTTAATCCACTTGACCATCACGACCGGACATAATGAGGTGATAGCCGAGGCTATATGAACCACCCCACCGCCGGCACTCGGATAGTTATCTTGGGCATAGCATTTTACCAAATCACCTCATTCTTTGGGGCACACGTGAGGAACACAAATGCGAACAAGCCTGAATGGTCCCCAGGACATATGCAACTGAAAACTCACACCCCAGAAGTGACTCGAACCATACTCCCAGAAGCAACGCAACTGGTATGTACAAGACGCCTTAATCCACTTGACCATCACGACCGGACATAATGAGGTGATAGCCGAGGCTATTTGAACCACCCCACCGCCGGCACTCGGATAGTTATCTTGGGCATAGCATTTTACCAAATCACCTCATTCTTTGGGGCACACGTGAGGAACACAAATGCGAACAAGCCTGAATGGTCCCCAGGACATATGCAACTGAAAACTCACACCCCAGAAGTGACTCGAACCCATACTCCCAGAAGCAACGCAACTGGTATGTACAAGACGCCTTAATCCACTTGACCATCACGACCGGACA